TTCATTTTGGGCGTCAGGTATTTTGTCCCAGCAACGAGAGAAAAGTAACCGAGACAATGTCATAGGAAGATTTTCTGTCAAAGACAAGAATTCTAGCAGGTAAGGTCATGCTGTGCAGTAACAAGTAAAGCTTTGTAGATATTTCCCCCCTTACCTGCAATTGCTTCAATACTTGGAATTGCAATAGTGCTGTAAGTACTGATTTTGTTAGAGGACCACGTGTAAACCAAGGAGTCCTCTGTGTTTTCCTGTTCTGCTACTGAATCAATAAAAAAAGAGCCCCATTTTCTAGATAAGGTATTTAGAGGCTTTCCCTTTGGTTCCTAAAATAAGAGAACAGAATAAGATTAATACTGGAAATTGATTAACCTTGTTTTTTTTTTCTACACAGTAAATCAAAATGGAAAAACCACTGCATTTTTTGGAAGGAAAACAACATTTCCTTATTAAGTATCCTTGATCTCAGTCTAGAACTGAGTTTTTAAATGGTCAGTTGGTTATAATCTAAAACTACCCCAAATACAGCAATCTAGAAATGTACCTTTTCCTATAATTAAAATCACTCCAATTTAATTATTATTTTAACATCTAAAGTGTGATTAAAAAACAGCTTGGGCTGGGCGTGGTGATACACACTTATATTCCCAGCACTAAGGAGGTTGAGACAGAAGGATCTTCAGTTAGAGGCCTGCCTGTACTACAATGTGAGAACTTGCTTAAAAACAAAATGAAAGAAGCCTGGTTTTTTTTTTATTTGCTACTTTTTAAAATAATGCAATGAAGACAATTATTTCTTCCTATGCATATACTGGAATATGAAACCAATCAATTGATACAAGGCTTCAAATTATTAGTGTTTTTAAGTACCTTATATTTTTTAGCTAATCACTGAAAATACTGAGATAAATATGTTCACTTCTCCTAGGGCTGAACAGAGTCCTTGTCACATACACTTCTTCACCTGGGAATCCCCACAGGTGGTGGTCACACCCTAGACACTTAACCCTATACTTAACCCTAGATAAAACAGTTATTTGTTTGTGTCTGAAAGGCCAAGTTGGTGTTCAGCAAATAAAGAAGAAGGAGTTGTCAGATGCAACAGAGTGAAACTTTAGTGAATAATATTGGCCCCACTTTATGTTTTCTAAGTTAGGTAAGAAATGTGTCTTATATTATTTTTTAAATTAACCTTAAACATCCTGACTCAGTGTAGGGAGCAGCTAAAGCTGGAGCTAGACCACAGGTGCGAGGCAAACATGAGCTGTTCCAGCTCAGGAGGTGCTCAGGGGAACCATACAGAGTTGCTTGGCAGAGGGCCTGAAACTGACATCAACCTCCTGAGAGTATAAATAAATGTGTGAAGGTGGTTGAGCAGGTCCTTTCCTCCCAGCTGGAGAGAAGGCTCCATCTGACCTTAGCTTCTGTCTGTTTTTATTCCCTGCCCCCTACGAACTTCAAGAGTTGCCTGGGAAGCAGTAATTCAGTTTGACCAGTCTGGTTGCTTTAAGATGGTATTTCACCCCTGTTTTATTAGAACTTTAATACTGGTGCCCCCCTCTTCTAGGTAAACTTTCCCTCAAACTGTCCCAATACCTTTTTCCTAATTTCTGACTGAATATCTGATTTCTTACATGCCAGATATCAACCCATTTTGGATTTTACTAGGCTGAACCATATTAAAGTGCAGGTATTCATCTGTTTTTGACAAATAAAAACATCAATTTTATAAAGTTTGAGCTAAACAGATGTTGTAAAACTCCTTTCCCATTGAATAGTGGTATCCTACGTATCGTGAACAAAATACCTAATACTGATGCAGCCAAGTGCATCAATTTTTCTTACAGTGTCTTTTGAGGTATAACCGCAAAGTCACTGGCCACTCTGAGGTCAGAAGAATACTTTCAAAATTCAAACCCCAGTGACACACATTCCAAGCCTGGAGTGCAGTGCCTGAAATGTTGTGGCTCACAGAATTAATCTTGAAATAATCTGGTCAATTTGATTTTTAATTATATTTCTGAAAGTTCACACAGAAGTAATTAGAAATACAGTTACATTCTTTTGCATTCAGACTTTAAGTTGGCCAAAAGATAACACCTTTTCTGCACTTGGCCTTTTTCTTAATAATACAAACTCTACAGGCTCTCACGTGGTGCTCTATGGTTTTCATTTGCCTTCAAATGCAGGCACAGATGCATGACAGACTTTCTATAAAGCAGATAATACAACTAAACTGGCCTGACATATCTGCTAGGGATGAGCCCATCAATACAAATACTGCTTCAAAAATGAACTACTGAAACATGAGGGCATTCATGCAGTCCAGGATAATGCTGAAGTCAGGTACTGTAACGATACTTCAGCTTTCCCCCGGAAGTTTTTCTCTCAAGCAAAGAGCAGATCTGACCCTTACCTCATATTTCCCTCTCTTCTCCCGAGGCTCCGCCTCCTCAGGCTTTTCGCCTTCCTCGCCCCTGAGTTCTTCCAGGATGAGCACGGTCTCCCAGTTACTATAATGACTTGCTGGGAAAATGTCCGAGTGCATGCTGTCACCGAAGTAAACAACCTGAAAGTCAGACAGCAAATTCTGTTTGAGAGTGATGGTTATTCTATGGAAACCAGAACAAAATTCCTCAACAAGCCTCAAAGTATGACAACCAAAAATGGCCTAGGTTTATACATCTTAAACTTCCTTGGATAATTTCAGAGGTGACCACTGATCTGACTCACAAGGCACCTGGTTTGTTACAAGTTATACAACCCAGCTACAGGTGGAAGAAAGGTAGAAGACATAGAATGTTCCTAAGGAGTGAACCCACGTATTTACATAAGTGTTTGTAATTCAGTCTGTTGCTAGGTTTAATTATACACGCTCTGAGGCTATACATGCCTCAGGCTTAACAAGAAAACTTGTTACAGTGACTAGAGATTACCAAGCATACACTACAATTCTCTCTTCAAGAGAATTTCTGGGCCCCACCCTAGGTGTGCTGAAGCAGAACCCCTGACAGTGAGGCTGGACATGTGAAATCTAGAAAGCACCCCAGGTTGTCTGAGGCTAATCCCCATGGATGCAGTCCCACTGGTGGTGAGCCTATGGCACGTGTGTCACAGTGGGCTACTTCTATCATGGAAAGCTCTAAAAGGTTTGCCATGAATGGTCTAGAGCCTCCAATTTACAAAGGAAAAAACAGGTTAAGGGATAAGAACCAGCTGAACTTGTTAACGATCTGTCCTGTGCTGTGGGGCCTGCTAAATATTTTTTAAAAGAAAGGATTCTGCTGTAAAAAATACACTACAAACAACATCAACAATGTGATCAGGATGTCAAAGAAAATGAGTCTTGAGACTAGACTGTAGTACAATTTCAGTTACTGCTTGTTTTACATGTGGAGACTCTGCTTTTCCTGAGGAACTGACAGGTATCACTCCCGAGCAGCCCAGACACGAACCTGCTTACTCTCTAGACTGTGGCCCTGTGCTCAGAATCCCCGCTCCTCGTGTCAAAGATACAGACCAAGTCCACATCAACAAAGGGAAGATTTACCTCATCAGAAGAGGGAAAGGACAGATGTGGTAGACAGGCAGAGGCAGGTGACTCCACCACAACTAAGCTGAAGCTGTTTACAAGTAAGGTTTTAGTTTTCAACTTTTTATCAGGAGGTGGGCGTGAAGGACTTTGGCTCAACCTGGAAATACCTTCGGCTGAGGTTTGCCTGTCATCTTCTTCAGAAGCTCATAAAGGTGAACAGCGTTTCCTTGGGAGTACCAGCCAGGTTTATCCAGAGATGGCAGTGCCTCCTGCTCCTCATCATCCTCTGCAAATACAGTTTGACGGTCACACGCTTGCTTGATCCAGTGAGGTATTCAGCCTATGACTGCGGACCACACTTACGTGGGGAAGGGAGCTTGCATTTGGGGAGCTTCCTCATGAGCACCTTGTGGGCGTGCACTTTTAAATCCTCTAACTTGGGGAAAATAAGGCCCTACATCTCAAAGCTGGCAAGTGATTTACGTGATCAGATACATGCCTGTTTCTGCAAAATGGCTTACCAGGAAACAAGAGAATGGAAACTATGAAGCAATAATATTTTTGGAATTGGGAATGGGAAAGATAGATTTGGTTTTATTAGTCACCTATTAAATCCTTGCTTAAGTTTGGTAGCTTAGGTGCGTTAACTGCTTTGCTCTAGCTTGGGTGGAGGAGAGTAGTAAAGGGACTATCTGATCTCAAAGCATGAGTTTGTGGGCTATTCCAAGCTGTCTGCTATTAGCACTATCTTTATACATCCAAACAGTTACACACTATTTAGATAGGGCTCACATTTCTTTTCTTTTCTTTTTTTTTTTTCTTTTTGTCTTTTTTTAATTTTATTTTTTATTTTAGAAATAAAAGGAGGAAAATACTAACAGACCGACAACATTTTACAAAATAGCATAGGATCAGTACAGACATTACAGAGTTACAAACAGAGTGGTAGGGAATTAACAATGCTTATTGTATTACATATTGATATCTTCAATGTAGTTTCTCATGAAAACACATATAGACATACAAAGCCAATCA